CCTCGGCACTGGGGGACTGTGCTGCCGGCCCATGGGGACCCTGCAGACCAGGAGACAGAGAGGGGATGTGCCCAGGAGCCACGGTCTCTCTTACCCGCCCTGCTCTCTGCAGGGACCACGGCTCGCCAAAGGGAGGGTGAGAATTCGCAGGGACAGAGCCCAGCACATGGGACGTGCTCAGCATGGACGCCTGTTTCCCACCCCCCCAGCTCTTACCCAGCGCTGTACCACGCGTGGACCCCTCCCCGAGGCGGCTGCTGTCCCTCCTGCCCCGTGTCACCTCTCGGCTGCTGCTTGGGCTGATGCACTCCTGTGTAATCCTCTTGGTGACGAGGCTGTGCAGGGGATTAGTGTTTCTCCTGCTCTAGCTTTGGTGGCCATAAGGACAGTTGCTGCTCTGCCACCCCTCGTTTGCTCTGCTCAGGATTCAGCTACAAGCAAAGGACTCATGACTTATAACTACTGCTTTCAGCTTTTGTCACTATTCAGGCAGCAGTCCAAGTCCAAGGCCAGTCACTGGCTCTCCTGGGGTCTTTAGTCACTCAGGCTCTTTAGGAAGAAAAATACAAGTCTTCAGAAATAAAACAGATATTTTAGGCAAAATGTCAGCCTCCAGCAGCTCCAGACTCCACCTACAACACTCCTGTAGGTGCGGGTTCTTATGTTCCCAGAGTGACTGGATTCCCTCGCACTGTCCCCCACTCCTTACAGTAACGCCGCAGGGAAGCTGGTGCTGCAGAGCCGTGGGGAGCAGTTCTTGTTCTGGGACAAGGACCTGTTCCCTCTGCTGGGACAGACCACACCGGGCCCCACGGCCTCTTCATCATCTCCCCTGTCTTGTGCAGCTGAAGGGCTGCTGGGCCTGGGAGGGAAGAGCTGCAGGTCAGCACAAAGGGCTTCTTTTAACTGGGAACCAAGCGCTGGCCCTTTCGCTTTCTGCCCTGATCGATGCGCTGGCTCCCCAGGGCTGCTGCCATCACCGTCCTCATCAGCACAAGCTGTCCCCTTCCTCCAGTGACAAACACTGCCAGAGGCTGGAAAGGTCACGTTTTCCCCTTGTCCCCACACCACCCCTAATGCACATCATGGGGAAAGTGAAGCTGATTGATTGACACTTTGCCACAAAAAAGCGCCTGTACACACAGGACTCGGAGCTACACGAGCCCTTTGCTGTTTCTCTGCAGGTCAATGTTCTCGCCAAGAAGGTACAGCAGCTCTCCTCCGAGTCAAAGAGCTGCAGCAAAGATTTTTACCCTCTGAAGTTCAGGAGCTCTTTCAATCCTTGCTTTGGAACAGTGGGAGAAAAGCTGCTCTTGTACCAAGGCCAAGTAATCAAAAATCATCAGCTAAGACTTCTTTCTTCCAGAACTATGGAAAAGCAAGGCTTTTTGAGAGTTTATGCCATTTCCTAGATCTTCCACCCCCCCTGTATTTAACCTCTGTAATTTAAAACACAAAAAAGTAGGGCAGCTTTGCAGCTCTCCCCTTAAGCCCTGACATCCCGACACTCTCCACAGATAAGTGGCTGCCAGCCCCTGACAGCAGCGTGCCAGCCACTCACTCCACAGCTCCCACTGCGAGCAAACACAGAGCTGCCCTGATCCCTGAACCAGACACCAGAACAAGGGAGAACTTCGCTCCTACACGCTGCCTTCACTCTCAGGTACCACTCTGCACTGACTGGGCTGCCTGGAGGGAGCTGAAAAAGACCCAAGACAGCAGGAAAGCACAAGGTGTAGAACAGAACGGGCACTCGGGTGCAACGAGGGCACGTGCCTGTCCTGGGGGCTGTGAGTGACACAAGCTCTCCCACGACACTCTCTCCATCAGTGGTTAAGCAGACACAAATGCATTACAGCACCTTGAGAAAAGCAAAGCCTATTTCACCATCAGCATTGATATCTTGACCTGGCTACTGTGAAAAGCACCCAACACTCATCGCTCCGTGTACTCTCCCACTGGCAATCCAGACTGCTCATCCCTTATCTGCGGGCATTCTGCCAGTATCAGCAAGAACTGACTTACATCCAAGTCTTACCTTGAAGCCGGATTAGTTGAACACAGCTGGAGATTAGTGCCTGGCAATCCTTTCAAGAACTCAGTGTTATGACTACCAGAGGAAAGAAAGCACAAAGGAAACCTCCCCAAGGGTCACGAGACAAGGAACAGTGACTATGCCAAAGTGGAAGAATTCCAGCAAAGTCCTCATAAAGCAGATGGAGAATAAAAAGTACTAGGAGTCAAATTTTAGACTGAACAAAACATGAGAAGAGAGACAAACATGTAACTTTTATTGTTTATGTACAAATGACAGAAGTTTGTATTAAAAAGAGAATCCACCCAACCTCAAAGATAGCAAAGAGCAAGATGGCTTTGAGCTCCAGCCTTCCCTGCATCTAAAAGCACTGTGTAAATTTTAGGGGATGGTGTTTAGAGAAGAGTTAACCACCTCCTTCTCTGCTTGAATAAGAATCAAAATGAGCTGTTCCACAAAATGAAAAACCTTCCACTCTACATGGATTAAAACAAAGAAAACCAAAAGTCAATTTGTTAAGGATACACTTTGGTTTAAAACAAAACAAACAAACAAACAAAACAAACAAAAAAAACACCCCCAAAACAAAACCAAAACTACAGAGCTAAGTATCAGCAACAAAAGATAATCTAAGTCCTACAACAGGGATGGGACATACTGTATCATACCCAGTTCCAGTGGAAAAAGAAATGCCTCTCCATGGGTTTGCAGATGACAGGGGTGGCAGCAGCAAGATCAGCCAATTTTAGGAAGTTCCCAACTGAGCTGGAAGCACAGAATAGTCAGGAATTCAGGACTACTACTACTACTACTACACCTCAGTCTTCCTGCAACTCAGGTGATTTTAAAATGATGCAAAGTACATGGTCTAAGATTTTTCTCCCCCATCTAAGTTCTTTAGAGTGAGTCACTCCCATCTGCAGACACTTGGCCAGAGAGCTGCCATCGTGCTCATCCAGTCGACTGGCATTTTTCTCAGCGGGGATTCATGTAGACCTAGATCCCAGAAGCATCAGCACTGATGAGTCTAGTAGTCCTGCAGAGAAAGGAAAGAACAGGCACATTAAGACCTTTCTACCTTAAATTCTGTTTGCAGAGCTGGGATTCTCAGTCTTCTCTCAGTTCTACATACCATTAGTTGCAGGCAAAACAGAAAAGAGAATTTTTTTCTTGTAGCTAACATTCAAGAGAAAAGACACTTCAAAAACCTTAGCTCAAGAACGCACCAACTCAAACCAGACACTTCTAATGCTCCAGATCATGACAAGACAGACGCAGAACAGCCTTTTCCATAAAAAGTGCACAGGACTTGACTGTGATCTAGCTTCATAACAAGCCTACCTGGCTTTATTTACTGTTAAATCCACAAGACAATGCTTATTTCATACCATGATATTCCTCAACCATGAAAATAAGATCTTAAATTACAGCAGAGGGAAGCTTTTTAAGATTAGGAGTCAGTCAGCCACTCAAGTCTAGAGATGAGCAATGAAAACAATGACAGAGCGCGGATACTTACGGCTCTTGGCTTTTTGTTTAACTTGAGATCAATCCTGTGGTTGGAAAGATAAGAGAAATGTCCATTTCAATACATTAAACCAAGACTAAGAGTTCAAAGAACCAGCTACTGCATATGGCACAGGCTACAACAAAGACTATTTGGTTAATTCAATCCACATTCTCAATTCGGCTGAGCCAAATCACTGTCCCAATATTACTGGACAAGAGAGCAGCAAAGAGACAGAGAGTGGATTCTTTATTATTTGCCAAAATGCATATTCTGTCCACTCAAAAAAAAAGAGTTAATAAAGGTTCATAATAAAAATCACAGGGAAGTTATGCAGCATAAAGAAATAAGGTTAAACACGCATGCTCTATGTTAATTTGTTAGATGTGTAACTATGCCACAGGTGATTGATTATTCAGACATAGTGGTAATGGTTATTTACTTGGAATAGAGACAGGAGTTTAAGATGACAGGGATTATATGAGCCAAAGGTACTGAGTTAATTACATTTTTCCAGAAGGAAATATCCAATTCTACACTAATCTCCTTAAGAAGCAAAGCCAGAAGAATCAGTATTCAAACTAAGTTTTTAAGTTAAAAAAGTTTATCTATTTAAAAATGAAATAGAAAGGTAAAGGAGAGTGAAGTTAATTTAATTTTGCTGAAGTTATTAAATAAAATGTTACCTCCATCACGCTTTTCTGTTTTTAAAAAAAACTTCCCAGCCTAACCTAATATACATACCTACAATTAAACAGATAAACTATGGGTTAGAAAGGTCTCAAAAGGCACATTGGTGTCTACACACTAACAACACAGCACAAGTACTAATTCAAGTCAAACTTACTCAAAGTCATAATCAAACATGCCAGACGGGCTGAGGGGCAGCATTTGAAAGGAAGAAAGCAATAGAAATTAATATACTAATGAATTAAATAAATTAGTTGATTAGCCACCCTAGCGAGATTACTAAAAAAGAAAACAAAATTTTAAAAAAAATAGTAAAGCCAGTGTTCAAATGCCATAAAGCTCTTAAGACATCGTAACCAGAATTGGGCACAAAAAGCACTCCAGACTGGGCAATCCAGAGTCCCCCTCCCCAGCTGGATTTCTGGGAAAAAAAAGAGGTGTTAGAACAGAGGCAGAGTGGTTTTATGGAGGGAATTTTAGGTGCTGAAAGAGGAAGCTATCATCAGACACAGAGTGCACACTACCTGACAGGCAGAGAGTAAAACTGATCTGCTTGCAAAACCAAACGAGTGAGCGGGTGGTCAGAAAGCAGTGGCTGGGTCTAGAGAATGACAGCAAAGCAAAGCTCCTTCAGGCAGAGGAGGAGACACAGAACTAAGTGGCCAACTTTGCATTCGAATATTCCCATAAAGCACAGAGCACACACACACACAGACACACACACACACACACCCTCTGGCACTCGCTTCCTTCAGGGAGCTAAAAAGAGAACAGGGTCAATGGGCCAGAGCTGGTTCTAGTTGGTGATGCCCCAGCCCCTCGGCTCAGCGTTCACACAGGTATCCAGCACTGTCTCTACAGCAGCTCTGCCCCAAAGCTGACAGCTGGATTTGTTGGAGAGGCTGTTCCATCACATCAGCTGTAATTTAGCAGCTTGTCAGCATTGAATTTGTAAGAGGAAACAGTATTGTTTTCTCCTGAAAAACTTTTTAGCCATGAAAATTGCTAAGCACACAGAAAATCATCGTCTTGGCCTTCCTGAGGTCTCAGAGGGAACCTGTGACTTCACTGTAACTTCCATCTGATTCCCTATTTTTAGCTGTTTGAAGTTCAACTACCTATTCACACCAGTTCTGCCCAGTTCTGAATCCAGCTTTCCACACTGCTCTCAGTGGCATATGAAGCAGAAAATCCAGTGGAGTCAATTCACCTTCAGGGCACCTATGCCCAACACCTCCCAGTTCTTCAGGAAGAGGCAAGCAGAACTCAAACGTATGCTGGCAAATGGAAGAGCTTCTGAACAAAAGGAAACACCAGTATTTCATTTTCTTGCCCTCTTTTTTCTATTTTTTCCCATGGCACTCAAGAAAGAGACACTCAGGTCTCTTCTGAAAAGAGCACTCTGGGCTGTGATGCACTCTAAAGCACTTTGCTGTGCTGTCAAAGTACTGTTTTGTGGTTTGCTTTTTTTAAACTCAGTAACAGCATTCACAATTTTAACAGTGTTTTTATTACAGACAAGTTTAATTATCTTCTTCTTTTAATTATCTATCTGGCCACGCTAAGCATTACAAAACAGTCCATTTACTAACTGCAAAAGCCTTTCCGTAACGTAGACGTGTCTGACGTGTCTCTTAGGGTGATAAAATCGCCATACCAGATCAGAGCAGGGCTCCTCACGGCCACCATTCTGTCCCCCACAGTAGCCAGCATCAGCTGCTTCAGCGGAAGGAGTGGAGAAGAAACCCCAAAGCAACACAACCCGTCAGTAGGGCAGGTCCTTCCCACCTCCTGTTGCTAAAGTTTGGGTTATGTACTGGAGCAGAAGAATTTCTATTATTTATGGCATTTGTACTGCACCCCACGGTGTCTGCAGGGGGGCAGCTTTGCTGTCCATGTAACTGCTTAGTAGAATTTTTTATAATTTCTTTGAAATAGCAATTTTCTTAAGCTGTACTTCAGTTTTGCAGATTGCTTCTCTAAACTTGTTCACAGATGTAGTTTCTTGTGTCATCCCTGAACTTCTTCCCCATTGTTTACAGGCAAAAAAAGTTTTCAACTGGTTTGGATTCCCAGCTCGTGAGGAGCCAAAGGGACAGCCAGTACTTTAGGATGTTTGCCCAATTAAAACTGCTGTAGGAAGAAAATTCTCATCTAAGAATTAAAGACACACTAAGGACTCAAAACCTAACGAAGGAGAGTAAGTAGTTAAACATTTTTCAAGTACTATACCTACCTCTACACCTCCCAAACCAATCTTCCCCCAGCAATCTTTGTAAATTTTTAGCACTTTCAACATTTCTCTCTTGTAACTGGAGGGGAAGGTCCCTCAAACAGGAAAGCCCCTCCATACACAAAGTCAGCAAGAACACTTAATTTTTAAAAGCTCCTTTACTTCTAATAATCTTTAGGTACCAGTTCCAGCCATCACTTCCAGAGAGGTTCAGTTCTGCAGTGTCTCCTCTTTCCTGGGTTTCCATGTATTTTTTCCCCTGGGGTGTGACTCCACAGCGCACTGTCACACTCTGTAGAAATCCCTGGGCTAACTCTGAGACATGGGTAAGCAGCAGGTTATGTTGGTCCATGGAGAGCAGCACTGTAAGGCAGGAGTTTATTTCAGATCTCTGATGCTGCATCACACCTTAGGGTTTATTACCTTAAGGGGCAGAACTGGTCATCTAAAATCATAAAAGCATTCAGGAAAGCTTTGTTTCACACGAATTTCAGGTCAGTTCAATAACAAACACTGAGGTTAACGTGACAAAGCCACTCTTCCATGCCACAATCAAAAGAGACTCAGTTTGGGACACTGAAAACTGAAAGGGTTTGGAGGAGAAATCTTAGTGAAGAGTGTCCACAACTCCCAAAACATTCCAACTTGCTTTTTCCAAAGAAAGTACTGACATTCCTATCTTACTTGGTTCTGCAGAAACCAAGAAGCAAGCAGAGGAGGCCAGGACTGCAATCTTCACTACTGGAAGGAAGAGAGCTCCATTGTCCTGCACAGGCAGGAGAGCTGAAAGGGCCAGGCCAGAAGCACAGCTGTACCGGAGCCGGAGAGCACCCTGCGCTGACCGCTTCTTCGGCTCCTTCAGCTGCTTTCCCCTCCTCCACACAACAGGGCAGTGGGGTCCTGATGAACACTACAGGATGCACACACACAACTAAAAACCAGAGAAATTACCAAAACAACTGACCTGAGCCGCTTGTTATTCGAAAAAGTGACTAGTTCCTTGCACATAAGAAAGTAAACTCAACCACAGGTAACTCGGAAGGCGTGACGAGAAGGCTGCTGGTGCCACTAACCTGTGTCGATTTTTGTTCTTCCGTTTTTTGTGGCTGCTGTGGTGGCTCCCAGAAGAAGTAGAGGAAGCAGCTTTCTGAGGTTTCACCCCCTGCACAGACCCATCCAGCTCTTCAGCATCCTCCTGGTTGGGTTCATTCTCCTGATTGTGAAAGTCTGGAGAAGTGTCACTTTCTGTGCCACTGCCTGGCTCTCCTAGAGCGTGACAAAGAGAGACGAGCACAGCGTTACCTCCCCACAGCTCACACCTCAGGCTGCCCCGGCAAAGCCCTGCACGGAAGAAGCAACACCCAGCAACAGCACCCGGGGCAGCAGAGACACGCTGAGCCTCAGGCACCAGGACGTAAATCAGAGAACCTGGAAAACATTTCTGAAGGACAGCAAGCCGCCTCCTCGGGAAGCAAAGCAGACTAGAACTGCAGCCCACGTGGTATTGATTACAAAAACAGTTTTAAAAATCCTGAAGCTAAGTGGCTCCTCCCCACATCACCTGCACTGACTGACAGACACAGCCAGAAACACGCTGCTTCAGCTCTTCTAACCTGTTTCTCCAAAGAGCACCAAATCCATTTAAATAAGTTTTATGCACAATAAACCCCTGCTGAGCATAAAAGCTGACTCGAGAAAGGAAGCTCAACTTTACTTCTGTTTCTCACAGTGCCACTTTGCTGACTTGTGCAGCTACAGGTTGTGCTGGGAGCGCTGGGGAGCCAAAGAGGAGCAGCCACAGGTCCCTGGACAGGGAGCGCTGCCCACGGGGGAGCAGCGAGGACGGCACGGATCCAGACAACCAGAGACAGAGCTGGACTGTGGGGAGAGGTGAGGTTCTTTCCAAATTCTGAGAGAAATGGAGAAGTGACTTACGCTTCTCAATGAGCTGGTCCTGAACTCCAGCTAATGCACTGACCGCCTAGAAAACCAAAAGGATGTTAATGAAAGCAATGCTCAATAAAACAGAGAGATCACCTCACAGAGAGACACATCAGGTCTTTGCTCAAACCTCTCATGACCTGGCACCGGCACGGTAGAGCAGCAGGGGGTTAGGAGCAAAAAGAGAAAGACTTGGGTGGCAGTGACAAGTGTGTGGCAAGGGGGACTCATCTGCGGTTCCTTTTCGCCTCTCTGGGCGCTAGGAACAGGGTTCTGGAAGAGGCCGTGACAGGGGAGTGGAGAAGATGCTTGGGTTGGGGGAGATGCTTGGGCGGGGAGAGACAGGGCAGGTACAGGAGCTTAAATGGAAAAAGGGGCCTGCAGCCACCACGGGATCAGCTGCAGCGAGGAGCCCCAAGGGACGGGGATGGGGACAAGGACACCTGCTTGGCTTGGCCTGGC